TCCTTTCCAAAATTCAATTTTAAGTTATTTTTTACTATTTATGGTAATATTTCGTTTCCTTTTTTCCACATATTAGAAAACTCGAATTAAGCCAAATTTTTTGCAACTTACTTCTTTTACTTAATATTTTATTTTGGTATAATTTTGGGGTTTTGCCATTTCTGGTAATTTTTCCATAATTTCGTATTTCGCAGCTATTTAACCCGGCTTGTGGGTTAGTTTTTATCATTCTGCATTATTAATAATATTGAGTTGAATTTAGAGTATTTTCTCTGATTTTTTGGGCATTTTCTGTCATTCTTTTCTTGCAAATCATCTGCTACAACAAGCCAATAGGATAATCACTATCCTACCCGGCGTCAAATTGCCTTTGATTGAAAGCAAATCCTAATAATGGTATGGAAGAAACTTCATAAAAATATCGAACCCAACACTACCGCTCAATTTCACAGAAATTTTCTCCATCTCCTTCGCCTATTCCCTGCTCAATTTCACGAAAAAACTTGAACCCAGCACCACCGCCCATTTTCCATTTTCTCTACACAACAAAAAGCTTCTGAATTAACTCCCAAATTCATCGAACATGGTTTATTGTTCGAAGACTCTCTTCTAGTTGCCGCTATAATTCTTAAATTCAGCCTCTGTTTTCTAACCTGCTACTGTAATTCTTGAATCCTGTTTTACCATTTTCGAATTCGACAACTATAATTCAAGTCTCTGCTGTGATTTTCAAATTCGACTATTGTAATTTAGTGCAAAAGTTTTTGCTTGGTTTTTGTTAGGATTTGGTGTGTCCGGATAACTCAACCGACGTCGATGGTGGTGGAAGATGATGGTGAAGAAAAAGGATTTGGGGATGGGGATGGGGATGGGAATGGGGTGGAGAAGATGAAAGACCATTGGAGGGCGAGGTGGGGTTGGGGTTCGGAGTGGGGTTTATATATTATTTATATTTAGTTTTTTAATTTAATTAAATATCTTATTTAATATGAGAAAAATGCAAAGTACCATTTTGCCCTTCTTATTTTGATCAAAATTGATCTCTTTTTTTTTTTTTGTCAACTAATGAAAAAATGGATGGTTTCCGTCCAGATGGACTTTAGCTGTATATTTATGAAAGTTTACGAACCTTTTATGGCACAAAAAAGTAAGTTAGAATAAAGTCTACAGAAATTGGAAAGGTTAGGAACCGCAATGCAATTTTTTCGAAAATTTATTTGCAAGGAAGTTGAAGTCTCCATGTACGGATGTTTTTGAAGTTCAAGTGGCCATATTGATCAGGGTTTAACTTTTTATGTTTAGATTTACATTTCTTAATTTTTATTTTAGTTGAAGGAGTATTTTAACTTTTTTATAAGAGTATTTTATATAAGTACAGGAATGATTTCCTAAATATCGGTGCTTATCTTATGTTAAGCACCGGTGACATAGCACGTCATTTAATTGGCGAAATTAACACCGGTCTTAGCTTATGTTTTGCACCGTTGATATGGCACGTCATTTAATTGGCGAATTTCGCCAATTAAATGACGTGCCATATCAACGGTGCAAAACATAAGCTAAGACCGGTGTTTAGGAGATCATTGCTCTCTCTATATATAAATATGTGTGTATGTGTGAAGACAACGAATGTAAATATCGGCTCCCCTTCTATTGTTCTATACAAGAATATTGAAAAACGAATATGATAGCTTTCTAAAATGCCCGCATATGCTCGATACATTTTCGAAACGCCTCGTATATGAGATGCGCGTGATAATGTGGTCAACTCATTTTGTTGACCGTATATTCAGGCTTAAATGTCAAAATGTACACACATTTTTGTTAAAATTTATGTCAAAATTAGTCTAAAAGAGATTAGCCTACTTTTATAACTTTAAAAAAAAATCGAGTAAAAAAAAATTCAAATTAGTCTAAATTACCCAAGCACATGAATTATATATACTACAATTTATAGGTGTTTGATGTTTAGAAAAATAAAAAATCAAAACAATTTTTTCATAGAATTGTAAACTATTTACGCGAAGCTCGAGCCTCCATCTTCTTCGATCTTTCTCTAATTTTACTAGCAAGTGATACTAGTAATGAACAATTTTTTATTGTTGATCGTTCTGAGACGTAGATGATGAGTGCTCTACACTCATGATATTTATGTCACTTAATTCATTATTTTTTCTACTCTTGAGAGTGTTTTAGATCGTTTTAATGTGTGTTTTGATGATATGTTATATGTTGATGAAATTGAAAGAAATAAGCAAACGTTGAAAAAATTGGAGAAGGGGGTCAAATTGTAAGATATTCAAAGTTTGGGAACTAAAATGTAAATAATTAAAAGTTGTGTCGAACCTCGCAATGGAAATTCGAGAGTGCTAGGAGTCAATTGGATGAAGAAAGACATCAAAAGGATCAAATTTATGCCCTGTTTGTGGCTCTTTAATTTCAAAAATTGTAGTATGGATTATGGAATTGTGATTGATGTTGAAATGTGTGGTTAAAAAAAGAAAATTTTTATTTATTTATGTATAATATTATTTTAATGAATAATGTGTGATTGAAAATGAGTGCTGTAGAAAAAAATAATGTGACGGAATGTGAGAAAATAGTTGACAAACAAGGGCTTAGTCAAAGTATGATCACATATCTACTTCCAACCGAAAAAGATATGCTTTGGATTTTCAGTCTTACATTGAGACTCATTTTTGATATAGCAAATGATCAAATTGGAGAATAATATTTGAATCAAAGTTGTAGCCTTTTAAGTTAGATTTCCAATGCATCTTGAATTACCTCAATCCGAATATCGGTAAAAAAAATTATGCTAAAAAAATTGATGGACACATGATCTGTCTTTTAGGTCGAATTGGGTGCCATGGGCGCCACAGCGCCCGTGTGATTGAAAATGAACAATAGAGGTGGCACCGCAATGCCCATATTGGGTGTCGAGGCTCCAGCTATATAGGAAAAGGGTTTTTTTCAAATATTTTTGGACTCTTTTCTTGGCCTAACTCAATCTTAATTCATCCAATAACTTTAATATACTATAAATACCATTCTAAAGGCCTATTTTTTGGAAGAATTGAAGGGGACAAGATTGAAAATTCAACCACACAATTTGAAGGAGGCAAAAATTGAAGATACCAAAGGGAGGCAAAAACAACACCAAGGAAGAAGATTGAAAATCTACCCAAAAGACTAGTTTTTTATATCATTTTCCTTATGTTTGTTTATTATGAATTGTATGAATTTCATGTTCCATATTATGAACTAAATAATTTATCTAGGGTTTGATGTAGCCGAATCGAGATTATGGTTTGATGATTTTATAATTATTTCTTTGATTTTCCCACATATATTTAATTGTGTTATAATTTTAATGCTTTTAATTACTTGATCAATAATCGAATGAATAGATGCTAGTTAATTTCGGCACTTGGGAGAGGAGTATTTAGGTGTGATCATAAGATTGACACAACATAGATTTTATGGGTTTCGAGAGAAAGTATAAAATCTATGAAACTTACTATATAAAAGAATTGCGACTTTTATAAATTCTTGATTTTCAATTCGGAATATAGATATTAGAATTGGAATCTAGGATTAATTTATAGTCAGCACTCGAGAAATGAGAGGGTAATATATTAGGATTATTGCTTTTAAATATGGAAAAATTAACTGGAATCGTTGATTCATAGTTGAGAGTAAGGTGAAATCAATCCATAGGCCTTCTCATATTGATAATTTGCATTCATCAACTTTGTTACAACGAATCACATTACAATAGTTTAAGCAATCATTTAATCATCCGTTCATCTGAATAAAGTATGAAATATACAATTATAATATTTAGTAAAAATTAAATTACAATCATCGTGGGTTAGACACTCTTACTTCAATATTATATTACCAGACTTGCCACCGTACACTTGCGGTACTTTCGCGTTGTGGAAAACACGTGACAAGTTTTTGGCGCCGTTGCCGGGGACTGCATAATTTAATTTTTGCTGATATTATTACCAAGTAATTTCTATTTTAATTTAGATTTATTTTCTTTTAATTATTTGCGACACCTGTTTCAAGCTTATGCGAAGATGAATGAGCATTGGACTACTACCCATTGATCCTGAACCAGAACAATCCTTTAGATTTCTAAGGAGTATTCAGAGACACAACCGTGAAGCAATGGCAAAGAAAGATCTACCAATAGCAAATCAGAATGGCTGACAACGGGCTATAAGGGACTACACTAGACCAGTTGTCAACGAAAATTACTCCGGTATTGCACACCCAACTATCGCTGCAAACAACTTTGAACTAAAGCCAGAGCTTATACACGTGGTACAACAGAATCAGTTTGGGGGAACTCCAACAAAAGACCCAAATGCTCATCTGGGTTCCTTTATGGAGATCTGTGATACTGTTTTATTCTTTATTAAACTTGCAATCGGCACAATCATTGCACGTCGTCCTCATTAATTCATCCCAATCTACTTTGTGTGATACAACATTTTTTCACCAAAACTCTTAAACGATACTTCAAGTAATTTTGTATTTCAAAATGTATGCAAAAATACTTTAAGGATATGTTTGTTACACTTGACTATAGATAATATTTTTTCTGCATATATTTCTTCTTTAATCTTGTTCAATAGAGTAAAATATGACGAAAATATTTCCACACTCATAAAAAGGTCAAAAAATAAAATAAAAAGTATCGATATCAAAACTAACAAAACAAAAATTCACTACAAAGGGTCTTTTGTAAAATCCTCAATTTTAAGCTTAGGCAAGCGCTAAAGAACTTGACCCTTGTTGGATCCCTATTATCTTCAAATTACATCTCTCTTTTCTTTTTTCTCTTTTCAATCACATATTCTTCAATAAAATATTATTATATGTAAATTCAAATTTTTTATTTTTATTTTTTTATCGCACATTTTTCATTAATATACCATTTTAAAATATATTCTAATCTAAAAACGGGGCTCAATTAGAAGGTTAAAATGTGCACATCCCGTGGCATTTAAAACGAAATTACAAGTCTTCTGGGGGCGAAGCGGAAAACTTTTAACGAATTCAAACGACATCGTACCACCGAAGAAATACTACGTCCCATAACTGCACCAACTCCGAGGAGCTGTTGAAAACCCTAAGCTGAATTTGCAGATCCACGAAACAAGAAATTTCACTTCAGTCGGTAGAGATCAATTAGATCGAAATGGCGATGGCTGCTTTGAGGCGCGAGGGAAGGCGTTTCGCTGCTCCTATCATCTCCCCACAACCTCTCAACCCCTTCCGTTCCTCAATCTCCTCTGCTGAGTACGATTCGACGCTTCTCTCTCTCGCTTGCTCTCTCTTCATATATATATATATATATATATATATATATATATAATTTGCGTGGTTTATTTGATTTTTGTTTTGGTTTTATTTCTCATTTTTGTTATCTAACTGATTCATTTTTATTCAAAAGCCATGACTTTGCGGTTCTTATAGGGATGATTCACTCAATTCCGTCCAATATTTAGGAAGAATTATAAATCACCAAATAATAGATAGGAATACCTCAGATAGGGCCATCAAACGAGTCGTTCCTAGTTTCATTGCTCACTAAAACGAGGTGAAGAGTTGGGTGAGTTACAGGTTATATAATTTTTATTCAAGAAAAAGGGGTTATCTGTTGTACTGAAAGCTCTCCTGCCTTTAGATGAGATAACCCTCAGGCGTTTTGCTTACTCTGTTGAAATGTGGGCTATTCAGTGCTTTTTTATGGTCTGAGAGCTTGGTACAACATATGCAGCATAATGTATGACATTTCATATGCAATTTTATCTTCCTCGAGTTTCTGTGTTTTTTTTAATACTTAAAAATGTACTGTGGAGCATTTGACCTATCAGGAATTGTGTTGTATAGCTATTTGATTATAGGTACTAAATCTAAAATTACTATTCCATCCATCCACAAATGCCTGCTAGTATGATGAGAGGCATATTTGATATTGTCCCTTGTATTTTGTGAGGGATTTGCAAAGATTTGACAACTTATGTGAATGCAATTTGTATCAAAATGAGGTTTATTCTCTCGACGTCTCTTGATATGCCGTATATTTTCTTAATCAAAATTTTATTTGATGAAAGCTTGTCCATTTTCTTTTGAATCATCAAGAGTTGGTATTATGGGAAAATTATCTCAAAGCTGTTTTTCTATTTCGACAATACATGCTCCTGGGAAGGAGTAATACTATATTATTTTACTTATTTCGTTATCCCAAATATTTCTTCTTGCAATCATAAAAGAAGATTTAATTGTAAATATTGTTATATGTTCATTATTTTAGCTTTGAGAAGATGATTAACTATCGGGAATGCTGTTTGTCGTTGTTATTCTTAGATATCGTATGAAAAATTCAGATGACCTCAGATAAGGTTGAGGTAAAATGGGGTGCTGTGCAAGAAAGAAAGTGAAATCTATATTTCTTTTCGAGAATTGCATGCAGAAAGGTTAACAAATTTCTCTTCACATGAATGATATACTATTTAGCATATTTCACTTAGGGAAAGTACCAGACTCAATAAGTAACACATATCCAAACCTAAGCTGCATTAAGGTCATCCTTATTGTTATTGAACTTTTATATCTTACAAACCTACTGTTATTTTCAGTTAATTAGTTCCACCACTGTTTTAAAAGCTGGAAATATGTATTGATGAGTTTTTCCTTCATGAGGCGAGGCATATATCTCAAGGTGGACTGAGGTGTAAGCCTCCCCATAAACAAAAAAATTAAGTTAAAAAATTTAAATAATACAAAGGAAAAGCTTCGCCTGAATTTCTGGAGTGGAATTTCTGCTGGATTATATGCGTGGCTGCCTTGTGTTCTTGTGGAAGAAGAAATGAGAAAAAAAAAGAAAATAGAGAAAGGAGATGATATTCAGAAATAAAAGAAAAAATTTATAAACGAAAGCATTTACTTATTGGAAATTTCAGAATCACTAGTGCTGCCTCCCAAAGCTTGTAGAAGAAGACTCTCTTGTTTTCTGGAAGCAGTGAGATGTGGGGGTATTTTAGTGGGGTTCTGTAGGTTTTTTAATTGTTTAGTCCCACAATAAAAAGAATTGATGGGCCCAATTTTTTATTATTATTATTTTTTATATTTAAGAACAAGGGGCCCATTTAAAAAGCCCCTTTTATACATGAAAGTCATGCTTAGACTTAAAAAAAGAGGGAAACAAACAAAAATAAACATTTCAAATGTCACAATAAAACTGAGGTGCACGCCTGACGCTTATTGAGGTGCCCATACTGAGGCATGCATCTCAGTCAATGAGGCGCCTGCCTCATTGAAAAGTTGAAAAGTACTGAAAGTATTGCCTCAAGGCACAGCAGTGAGGTGTACCTCACTGGCACCTTTTTAAACTATGAGTTCCATAGAAAATTTAATGCTTCAGTATATTTTTGAAAAAATCACGAGTCGGTGTTTATGTGCTGGTGCATCACATTGACAAAGCTAGGTCCTATTTATAATGTGCCATTTGGAATGCTAAATAGATACATTCTTGTTTATTATCAATGTATATTCCGAGATTGGTGAAATTCTTTTTTTATTTGTTTGTAACTATGTGTTATTTGTGTCAAAGGTATTATTTCTTCTTCTGAAGAATTATGTATAATATTTTTCTCTTGTATTTTGTATTTATTCGTCTCTAAATAAAGTAGCACGTGTGAACAGGGATCAGGCTTTTCTGGGAGTTCGTTCTATTTCAACTCAAATTGGTAAGAATCGTTATTGAATTTCTAGGTGCTACATTGTTAGTTATCTATCTTAATATTGAATCTTTCTTAATATTAGCAATATTGTTCTTTTTCTCATGGTTTATTTTTTTTGTTGATGAACCTAATGTGCAGTCCGTAACCGTATGAAGAGTGTTAAGAATATTCAGAAAATTACGAAGGCAATGAAGATGGTTGCTGCGTCAAAGCTACGAGCAATTCAGACTAGAGCTGAAAATTCACGTGGCCTATGGCAGCCATTCACTGCTCTTCTTGGTGACACTCCAAGTAAGTTTCATTAAAATATTTTCAGTTACATCTTAATCCTTTAGTTTCATGTCAATTTATGTCCTTACTTTCACAGGCTCTTAGCATGTTTCTGTTTTTCTTTTGTCTCCCACCATTCACTTTGAACGTAAGATCCTTCTAGACGAGTTGGTTCCGCTCCCTGTGAGCATATTCTAATGTATTGTGCATTGTAGTGAATTGTTTCTGATGCTTCCCTGTTGCTGCAAAGCGACATAGAGGTATGGAAGAAATATGTCGTAATAGAGGGTGTATTCAAGATAGTACAAACTCTAGAGATATCAAGCTGACAAACTCACAAGATGTACTGTGGAATTTTGAGACATTGACTGACTACCTTTTAGTTCATTGTTTCAGATATCTACTATGAAAACAGTTTCCATACTTCTGATATTGATGAAAAAGTAGAGAAAATAGGCAAGATTACATATGGACCAATACTCAACTGGGATAAGGGACAGAGTACTTAAGTAGGAAAGGTTGAACACATCCTAATACATAGTGTTACATATTTGTCTCAAGACTCTCAACCTTTGAGGGTTTTAAGTATATTCCCACTTCCATAAAGGAGACAGCATAACTAATCAAAGTAGAGGTTCAACACTGCGCTGTCACTTTCTATCTGATCCTCCATCGCCACCCAGCTTCTGGTGCAAATTGTGCTTATTTGTATTGTTGTAAAGGCATGTCATGTTTCCACTCCAGAATCAGAGTTATCTATTTGCTATAAATTGATATTCCCTACTATAATCCATCAGTACTGCAGATGTACTGGGTTTCTATGATTTATCTTAGGTTTATCTTTCACACATCTGGCTTCTCAATAGGATGCTGGCCGTTCTTTTCTCGTCTATGTTTTTCATTAATGCTGTACTCTTTGTTCAATGAACTTACAACGCGCTTTCAGTTCAATATGATTTTTCATCTTCAGTGATAACATTTACTTTTCCGGTACTTACCTTTCCTCATGCTTTGATGTTTTAGGTGTTGATGTCAAGAAGAATGTTATCGTTACAATTTCTTCTGATAAAGGTCTTTGTGGTGGGATTAATTCTACTTCTGTCAAGATAAGCAGGGCACTTCATAAATTAAATTCTGGTAATTATAAGTCTGTAGATGCAGTGAACATCTCTCTCTGTCTCTCTCTGTCTCTCTTCTTTTCTGCTGGTGAAGTTTCGGTCATTATTTTTTCTGTTCTGGCACTTCACAGGCCCTGAAAAGGAAAGTAAATACGTCGTTTTGGGAGAGAAGGCCAAGGCTCAACTTGTGCGTGATTCCAAGCAAAACATTGAGTTATGCATAACTGAGTTGCAGAAGAATCCCCTGAACTATACTCAGGTTTGTCTTTTAAACGTATTTTCCTGAAAAGTATTGAAGAAAACACAACTACCATTTCTACAAAGAATCCCTAGATTTCGTCCTTGTACTTTGTGGTCAGGACTTAAACCGAGCTGAGGACGGTTCAAGCTTTGTTTGTCTAGATTAGGACCAGCCATGATGACATTTTACACGTAGTCTGAAAATTCAGTCGACATCTGCTTGCATTCACCAGATTGGGACAGGATTACTGGTGGCAATCTATTACTGGAAACTTGCTTTGTACTCTAATTTTCTACTCCCAGCTGCAATTTTTGGCTACACGTGAGCTGCTTGTACTGCTGCTTCAACCTTTGTCGTAAAGTGTTTAATGGACCAAAGACTTGTCGAGAAAACTTGAAATATAATTGTAAACATAATTGTATCTTTAATTGTTACTGGAATTTTGAGAGATAAGAAATCAAAAACCCCATGAATTCTGTTGCAGGAATGTATATTTCTGTTTCAACTCTTTGAGTTCTGTTTTTGGCAATGCAGGTTTCTGTGCTTGCAGATGACATCTTAAAGAATGTCGAGTATGACGCATTGAGGATTGTTTTCAACAAGTTCCAATCAGTTGTATCATTTGTGCCAACAGCAGCAACTGTATTATCTCCCGAGGTCATCAATGGCACCAAAAGAATTTAGCCATGTGAATCTTCTAATAAGGGATTTCAATCAGGATGTTAATTCTATTTTTTGCTAATATAGGCTGTGGAGAGAGAAGCTGAATCTGGGGGAAAACTTGGGGAGTTGGACAATTATGAAATTGAGGGTGGCGAAACGAAGTCAGAAGTACTTCAGAATCTAACAGAATTCCAGTTTTCCTGTGTATGATCTACCTTCATTATCATATTTTGATCGACCCGCAATGTATTTTTCTGTCTAAAAGTGTAATGCTTTTGATCTTTTCAGGTTATGTTCAATGCGGTCCTAGAAAATGCTTGTAGCGAACAAGGAGCTAGAATGTCTGCAATGGATAGCTCAAGCAGAAATGCTGGAGACATGCTTGATCGCCTCACACTCACTTATAACAGGTTCCCCCTTAACCCATGCAATCACAGTGCAAGTTTGATACTTAGTATGAAACAGCAGGAGATTATAATTAACAAGACTTTAACTTCCTTTTCTCTGTATGGTGTCTAGTCCTATCAAATATTTTCCCTAGATAACCTATCAAACATGCTCTACCAATGCATATCTTCAAATATGCACCAAAAAAATATAGAAATAATACTAACTTTTTTGTAACATAACTAATTTAGAAATGATTCCCCTCTCTCATTTGCTAACATTCCTCTTCGCTTTTTATCAGAACCCGTCAAGCATCTATTACTACAGAATTGACAGAGATTATTTCTGGAGCATCAGCACTTGAGGGCTAATTCAGTAAAGCTGCTGCTGCCCCTCTCGGATGGCGATTAAATAAATTCTTTTGAACTTTGTATTGCACTTTTTGGTTACGCCTCGTGGATTTTCTTGGTTTATTCATTAATAATCTCTCCAAATAATATTTCTGGGGAAATATTGAGTTTATGATTTGAAATTTTTAAAGAAAATCATGTTTACTTATTCCTTTGCTCGGCATTATGTTGGTGATGATACTCTATTGAATAATTTCTCGGAGCTGTTTCAATGTTTTATGGACATATTTCAAGATCCCCAAATATATAATATAAGTTTGAAGCAGTCTCTTTGTGGCGATGATGCCTACCACATTAACTGATTTATTTGTGTTTTATCGACTCTGTTTGTTGTCTGCGCCTCTTTATAGTCTTGACTTGGGCCTCTCGAATAGCTGCTCTTCGGGCCTCTCTCGAGTGGGTCCAGATTTACTGAGCTGCCTTGACTGTTCGCTTGGTTGTCTCATCACCTCAAAATTTTAGTGTACATGATTCATTATGTTAAAAAATAAAAATTGTTTGTATTTCACTAAAATTTCGAAATGGGAATGGGACGCTAAAGCCTTATTAAGCCCCCTTTTTTTATGGTAATTATTGAGAAGAAATTATGTTTTCAATAGTGATTTTTGAAGAATGTATGATTCGAAAGTAGGAAAAATTTTGAGGTTAAGAGTGTGTTTGATTGATATAGAAAATATCACCTAGAAAAGAAAATATTTTCTATCTTTTGTGGAAAATAAAAATCACTTCTAGTCAAGGAAAATATTTTCTTTAAAAACAAGGAAAATTAGGCATATTTTCAAAAGTTGGAAAATGTTTTCCATGAAAAAAAATAGCAATTAAATACTCCAAGTAGGAATTTGGATAAAAAATTGATATTTTCTATGAAAAATAAATGTAATCAAACACACCCTAAATGTAAAATATTTTAATGGGTGTTGAAAAATGAATATTAGAATTAAAGAGTTTTATTTTAAAGAAAGACAAGCAAAAATCATTAAAAATGGCTATTTGTTTAAAAAATTAAATTTCTTTTAATCACATTAATTTTGAGTGATGCATAACAACAAATGTGTTAAAAGGAGTCGCACGATTGGTTCTAAAATTGTTGCCTTGGAAAAATAATTATCTCTTAAAGAAAAGCAGATTGGTCTCTAAACTTGTAACATGATTGCATAATCAATTCTCAATTGTAATATGACACTTGCAAATTTAATTTTATAAAGCTAAATTTTTATTTTTATTTATGCTAATGTCCGAAAGTTATTGAGAGTGAAGATTTGAATAGTTGGTCACTTGTAATTGATGGTTTAAAAATAATGTACAATACGTTAGAGACCAACTTGTGACTAACACGATAGCTTATAGACCAATAGTGCAATTTTTTCTGTTGTTAGTCATGCATTTCGATCGTACAGAATACACGCTCTATTTACAATTCGCGAACTTATATTTTATTTGGGGCATGTTATATGTATTGAATTTTTTTACTTAGCTTGTGTTTGGTTGTCATTTTGATTTTCATTTGTAGCATGTGTTTAGGAACAATTTTTATGGAAAATTTGACCGTTACTCGAAGTCAATGGGCCCCACATCTACAAGAATTCTGGCAGAAAAAGGGAACAAAAGCTGCACACGTGATTCACCTCTTCTTTGAAATGTCAAAATTATTCTTGTGATGGTATGGAATTTAAAAAGTGTAGGGACACCATAGTCTTTTTAATATAATTTATAATTGATCGGTTGGTGCAGTCAACAATTGCTGCAACCCCGTGGACCTCCTTTTCTGTAGATAACGGATGAAATTCTGATTATAATTTGGAAATAAGCGCTCCTATACAGCCCCGTAGAAGAATCCTAACCGTTACACAGTAAAAATGCAAGCGCATTTAATGTCCATTAGAAATGGATTTACGTTTTTACCCTTTTTCGCATTTATTTCAAAGTCACGGAGAGGGTATTTCAAGAATTTTCCATGTTGAGTCAAAAAAATAGGCTGTGTATGGACCCACTCACTGTTTCAACGAGCGTAAATTTTCTGAAAATGTGGTGAAAATGGATACTAAACACAGGCTTAATTCCTTAGAACTACTTACAATAGAGGGTGGAGGCACATTTTGGAATTTTTTATTCACTCGAATCTCACGTGCACGTGTAAGAGGGGTAAATAATTTGGTACATCTTTGAGAATACTAATAGAATTATTCTATTTCATTATGGTTTGTTTCCTAAATTTCCATAATATCCAAAATATAATCCAGATAATATGGTTGGTGAAAACAGAACACCTAACACTGTAAAAGCACTTCACAAATTTGAGGTCCGATTTCTTTCTACAAGGAATTTCTTTTTTCAATCACACGAAGATCTGAAGTTCAAATTTTCACTTTTCCTGGTGAAGTTTTGTTTTTAATTAGGTAATTTTTGTTCATAAACATTCTATAATTTATTTATTGATGTCGGATCAGGGCGGACCCACATGGGGTCATGTGGGGTCAAATGACCCCACAAAATTTTGTACTTTTTTTTTTTTTTACAATCTACTTTGATGCACTCGTCGGGATGCCAAATAAAGTCAAAATATTGCATTCTTAATACTATTTCGAAGTGCACATGACCTAATTTTTCACTCATTAATGACATGCGAAGTGGTCAACTATAACAAAAGTTATGACATGTTAAAATAGGGCGTTTGAAACTAGTATTTTGAGAATTTCGATAATATCCTAACTTCAAAAATTCGTTTGCGATCATGTGTTATATGAATCCACAAATCGTATATGCCATGTAAAAATTTGTTTCGAAAAGTACATTGTTTTCATATCGAATGGTCCAAACAGATGTCGAAAATAGTTAAATATGTATTAAACGTACGTCTCAAAAAAGACGTCTAACTCGTTTTTTTTTAAAAAATTCAATTAATTATTATTTTTATACGATAAATTTTTCAATATAATTTATATCGTTTCATTCGGAAGTCTTACATGAAATATGACGTAAATTTTTTAGGGTCGTTACGGATTAAATGCAATTTGAATTACTTTCGAATTATATTTGCTTTAAATTTGAATTTTATTTACTTTCTGAACTAAACTTGAATTTTATTTCAATTTATTTAATTTCTATATTCAATTTAATTTACTCAATGTTAGCTCAGCATTTGCCAATGAAATGATAAATAAAACTATACAAGTTACAAAATTTATTTAATAATATTAATAATGATATAATTATACGGCGCTTTCAAAGTGTCAAAATACATATAAACTTATTTTCATTGATATTATGTTGTTTATTAAAAAATTATTTTTAAAATTTTGACCCCACAATACTAAAGGTCTGGGTCCGTCCTTATGTCGGATGCGTTTCTTTTGAATAAAAATGCAATTTTTCTCATGAGAAGAGAACCAGATCGGATGGTAATACTGTAGGCGTGAGGAGATTTTCACAGTGTAGAACAAAGGGTGGCAGGCAGTGTTGGATCTAGATGGTGACGAGCTAGGGTGTCCGCCCTAGCTGGATCCGTTGGGAGCTTTTTTTTTTGTTGACAATAGTTGATAAACATTTTATATATACCCGGTATTTCATATTTGTTTTAAACATCTCTAACAACTCAATTGGTTAGAGCCTCTACTTACAAACGAAAGGTGCAGGGTTTGAATTTTTTGTTAACCAAATTTATTGCACAATTTTTATAGTCCTTCAATTTTTACTAAAACTAATGTAAGAGAGTGGAGATTTGAACCTGTAACATATCCTTAAAGTTATTGATAGTTCAACCACCATGGTACTTAATGAATTTTGGTATAAAGCATAACAGAATAATATATATTTTGTTTTAGTTGAACCTATGTTCTTTTGCTTTGAATTATAAGAAAACCTACCATAACAAAAATATATATGTTCAATTGTTTTCAAAATAATTATTATATTTAATTTTTAATATTTTATTACTGTTAACGTCCGCCCGTGCTCACTCAAAATTCTAGATTCGTCACTGGTGGCAGGAAGAGATCTTTACAGAAAAGAAACATAGATACAGACGAAATAGGAACTTTTTGAGTGAGTTTTTTTTTTCCTAATTGTCATTTCTGTTTCATTTCTACGAATATGGATAGTTCTTCAATATCCGTTCGTTTGGCAAGAATTGAGTTATTGAGATTTGACATTCGAAAATTTTTCCTCTATGATCATCCAAATTTATCCTTTTATCATTGATTTGTATTAAGAACATGGGTACAATCTTTTGTGGAATTATAAATCACGAATCATATATTAAATTCATAGGTATGATGAAAAAGTTGTAAACTTGGATTCAAAGAGAGAGTAAGTTTTCCCATAAACCTGAATGAACCAAACAAATTTTATTCATCAGCGTTCTTTGAATATTCTTGATTAGCTTTTTCAATATTTTTCTTGAATGTCAAATTCCTATCGCTGTTCACAACGTTTTTGGCCTCGACCTCATCAATTTCAATTAATCTCTTAAATTGGGATAAGGTTCATAAGAGAAAAGTAGACAAGAAGGGTCATAGGATAATATAATGAACATAACTCAGGGTAGGTGTTTATTTTTGACATGACTCACAGTTTTATTATTTTACTTGTGGGCACGTTAAGCAAAATCTATGAATGAACCAAACAAATTTCACTAATTTTTGGTTGTAGGATTTTGATTGAATTCCAGCTCATTTGGATTGCGTTAAAATGGACATTCATGTTACACCTGCTTCAATCAACTTGCTGCATTCATGATTATTTTTTTATGAGGAAATTTCATCAAATGTCCATTTTTACCTAGTCATTTGCAAAAATGTCCATTATTGCAAACCGTTGCAAAAATGTCCAATTTGGAAAAACTTAGACTAAAATACCCTTATTAACAATTTTTAATTCCACACTAAGACAAAAAAATGGACATTTTTGCAAAATTGTTATTGGCGAATAAAATTTTGACACATAACCTGCCATATTTATTTCAAAAGTATACATGTCAAATCACAATAAATGCTATATTTTTCGTTGACTCAAAAATGTCGAGAACGATATTTTCAAATGTCAAGAAATGTTATGTTCAAAATAAAATGTTATTCTAGACAAATGAAACGTTCAAATGTCGAGAATGACATATGTAATGTCGAGAATGTCACCGTGACACGGAGGTACTTGTCCGTGTCACGGAGACGTGATTTTTTCAATTTTTTTTTTAATGAAATGGTATTCAAATGTCGAGAATGACAATGTCGAGAATGTCTCCGTGACACGGAGGCAAATGTCGAGAATGTC